TGTCTTTTTTCCAGATCTTCACTGGCAACTCTGACAGTGACACTGTTGTCTACAACAAGTTCCTGATCCCAATGAGAGCACAGTTCATCCGTGTTGTTCCACAGACCTGGCACAATGCCATCGCCATGAGATTCGAAGTTGTTGGATGCTACACCGGCAAGAGTAAGTGGGATTGTGCTGCCATCTATTAATAAAGTGGTACACTGTATTACGTTAATGTTTTAGCTGCCACATTGTGTGACTAAAGCTCTATAGATTGTTAGGTTGAAATTGAGAAATCATTTACTTCATCACCATAACTTTACACAAGAGGTACAAGTAATGAAAAAACATTGATAACAAAGGGACACAATATTACAATTGTGTTTACCTGCATGCGCTGTACTGGTTTAATCCTGTTTAGAGATAACACTTTCTGTGAATAACTATTTAATACACGTTTTCAATTATATTACAGCACCCACAGCCAGAACCCCCACTGTTGGAACCCCAACCCTACCACCTGTCACCAAACTTGTCAGTACACCTGAGCCACCCAAGGGTAAGTTTGTATGGTAATACCAATACATTATAATTTTTTTTTAATTATGGAAAAATAAATACTTGTTTCCAAACTTTTTTGGTCAAGCGTAAATCATTTCATATTCCGACTCCAGATGACTGCACAGTCTGGGGTAACTGGGTCAACAGCGACAAGGCTCTCTTCGGCTCTGATCGTGAGGCCATCGAGGACGTGCTTTCACTGACACCTGTCTGCCAAGTACCCATGGAGATCCAGTGTCGCCGCGTCACTGACAAGGTAAACAAACGAACACTGAAGATTATGAACTAAAAGAATTTATTTCGGATGTTTTAACTTCAGGATTGTGGTTCTTAATGAAACTTATGATTGCATTCTTAACAAAGGAAGATTTACACATTTTAAAGTGATGATTTGAATTTTAAAAATTTTGAAAAATTTACATAAATTATACCGATCTTACATTACATGATGTGTACAAAAGGGCCAAATATGCATTATGGTATGCTGCATTATGTTACATTCACTTATATAGTCTGATCTTCTACCACTAGGTGGCCCATGACAAGACAGACCAGAAGGTGCTCTGTAACACATGGTTGGGAATGAAGTGCGACTCAAAGGACCAGGCCAACAACGCCATGTGCTACGACTACGAAGTCCGCATTGGATGCATTGATGAGACCAAGCCACAGTGTGGTAAGTTTATTATTTTGTTAATAATGATATCATTTTCATGTGTATTTTAATAGAGATTTCTGCAATTATTGATTTGGGTTTGGGTTTAAAACATTTGATTTAAAGGAAACTGTTTGTTGAAATTTTTGCATGTTACGTGTCTCATGTTTATATACATGTGACGGATGGGATTCCTTTTCCTTTTGATGAATATCATCCTTTCAGTTCATAAAACATGGGTTAAAAAAGGTGCCAGAATTTATGTGAAATAATCCAATATTGGGGGAAATTCTGGAAAGGAGGAAGACTTTCCTATTTTTCTGGCATTTTACATCCTACATGTATCCCTAATATGGAATACAATAATGCGATATAATCTCTCATTTCATGGTGTTTAATTTTCAAAATATTTCTTCCTCTTCAGTACCCACTTCACAGCCTTCCACCCCATCTCCCATCCCACTCTGCCAGGGTGTCAAGGACTCCTCCAGCTGTCCAGCTGATGGCTGTCCAGTCGGTCAAGTGTGTGATGGACACACCTGTATGCCACCAGAGCAGTGTCCATGCATCGTGGTCAGTGGTGGAGTGACCAAACACATCTATGTAAGTGGATAGGGTACTGGTGTATTGACCATGTTCTTGTCCATATACAGTGTACATATAATACACATTGTAGTTTCTGGAATTTAAGGTTGAAATACTTACAGTCTGCGTAGGTGTATTTTTAACCTTAGAAATCTTTCAATTTAATAGCTTAAATTGTCAGTGTGTAGTTAAATTATGCAGAACCTTCATAAAGAAATTATAAAATGATGCTCCAGCTTGGGTAGTATTTCATAACTTGTGGCATTTATTTTACAAAACTAAAAGATGAGATCAACTTGTTCAGCATTATTGTATAATTATTCATTTTTCTCGTAGCCTGGCAAATTCATGACCAACGACCAGTGCCAGACGTGCACATGTGCCAGCGGGGTTCTCAAGTGTATGAACAAGGTCTGCCCAACAGCTTGTGCTGAGGTAGGTGACAGTTTAACCTTTTTTTGCCTTATTCTTATTATTTTTTAAAATATTTATCCTTTGGAATTATCTGGCTAATTGTCTTTTAATTGTTATTAATTTGTCTCTAAAATGAAATTATTTAATTAAAATAATTAATAGCATTTTGTAATCTTCAGTTTAATACTTAATATTTAACTGCCTATATACTAGCTTTTGATTAAACTTTCCTTAAAGTACTTGTTCACATGACTTGGATTGAAAAGAGTAGAAATTTATTTCAGTATCATAATTATTTTAAGCAATTAAAAAATTGCAAGCTATATTTCTCAAACCATGTGAATTTAAACCCACTCAGGTCATAAGATAAAAAGTTGAAAACTGCTAAAGCTTTCAAAGAAACATCCCTATAGTACAGTGCCATCTTTTATCATAGTCTGTAATGTCTTTTTCCCCCATTTGCAGTGTTTGTGTTGCTTAGTGAAATAAGCCAAAAAATCATGTATTTTCTGTCATATTTCAGAATGAAGTTCAGGAGTTGGATGCCCAGTGTAACTGCCGCTGCACTGGCTGCGCCAGTGGACAGTTCCTCTGTAAGACCACCAAGGAGTGTATCCCACAATCCCTTGTGTGTGACGGCAAATGGGACTGCAACGATGATGAGGTCAAGTGTGGTGAGTATTTACAATGATATTGTTTCTCCAACTTAATCACAATATATACCATTCCAAATTTCCAGTGATTTCTGATCTTAACCATAAATGGTTATCTTTAGAAAAAATGCATGTTTGTAAATTAATTGATCGGCTTTGGATTGATTAATGAATGCTGTCCTGTCTAGGTGCTTGTGTTTGCCTTAACAAAGAAACACAAATATTGACACCTCTCTTTCTTTCTCTCTCTCTCTCTCTCTACTACTGTATGTATATATAAATATATAAATATTTATTATGTTTTTACAGAGCCCACACCCAAACTACCACACACTACCCCTGCTCCAGAACCCACCACCAGCAGAATCACCCAGGGGGCATCACCAGTCTCCAGAACCAAGACACCCCGCACCACACCAGCTGCACCAACACCAGGACCCACGCCACCTGCCCCAACACCAGAGATACCAAAGGGTAAGTTATTTTTACAGAAGCTTTGGTTTCGTTGATCTACTTGAAGTGCAGGGCATATACTCACATATATACTTGTACTATATATGAGTATATGCCCCTGCAATACAAGTAGATCAACTAGAATTAGAACCTGTAGCAGCTACTATTATTATTTTTAATTTCTGATTATTTCAAAAAGTATTCCAATTCACAAAATATTTTTTATTAAATGCAAATAAGACCAAAAGTTTTGCAGGGATAATGATTTGTTTTTATATAGTCAAGTTGACCTGACTTGTTCAAAATTTTTGACAACTACTGTATATACTGTCAGAGAATATGAATAAAATGTAAATTATAATTTTTTTCCATTTTTACAGTCCCCAAGAAGTGTCACCTCAGTGAGAACATGTTCAAGACCTTTGACAACAAGGAGTACAACTACGAGATTTGCAAGCACACCTTGGTCAGTGAAATGGCAATGAAGAGACTGAACATTGATGGTGAGATTGTATTCAAGTTTTATTTTGAAATGAGCTCAATCGGACAAAGTGATATATATTTGCTAACTCTTGATCTACACTACAAAACATTACAATTGAAACACAGATTATAATAAAAATAGTATTACTAGTTAAAACAAAGCCTAATAACCACAAATTTTGATATTTTCAGTCCAACTCCACTGCCCAGTCGATGGAGGCATGGACCGCGCCAAATGCACACGCTCTCTCCACATCACCCTGGATGGAAAACTCATCAAACTGCGCCACGGACAGATGGTTGAGGTTGACGGACAGATCTACATGCCATATCAGCTCGAACAACTCAGCAAGACCCTGGGAAGCATGGCCATTGCCGCTGTCGGAGAAGAAATGGTCGCAACCATCCCCGAGTTTGGCGTCATTGTCAGCTGGGGCAAGCGCTACCAGACAGACATCCAGGTAAGTTGATGGGATTATATTTGTATTTTTGAAGTTATTACTTTAGGGTGTGGAACTAAGATGTTTGCTACAAGTTGAGATAGGGGGTGTATGGTAAAGCTGAAAAAAAAAAAGAATGAACATTTTTGACACATGCAATTTTTTAGACTGTTTATATTCTTCAGGGGCCATACCTGACCTGGTACAATAAGATGTTGCAAACAATTTCCATTCATTGTGGACATTTTACACAAAAGTCATTGAATAAATTTAACTGTATTTGTAATTTGGTAATCAGCTATGAAACTATAGTTATTATTGAAGTTACAGATTTATCACTTACCAAGTTTGTATGTATTCTACTACTTAATGATGGTAATTTCACCATCTGACATAAAAATAGAGAAATACCAAATTGGTAATATTGCAAACATCTTCCACAGATTGGCAGTCAGTTGTTCGGCAAGGTGGAAGGTCTCTGCGGAGATGCTAACGGCAAGCCTGATGATGACTTTAAGAAGAAGGATGGCACCTACGTGGCCAGCGTGAACACCTTCGGTGACAGCTGGGGCTCCAGGACATTCTGCCCACCTGCGCCAGTGTGCACCATGGAACAGAAAGAGGCAGCAAGACAGACCTGTGCTCAGCTCAGGTAGGAAATAAAGATCGTTGTTCTGCAATTCATTTTTAAAAATTTTGTAAATTATTTTTTTTATTTTAGTTATTAACAAAAGTTATTGTTCTGAAAGTTAGTAAAAGCTTGAGATGGGCATCACATCCCTGTCTCCTAAAACAAATGAATTTTTGTTGGAAATTTGAGCAACATTTTCTTAATCTGTTGTTATAATATTTGTAGCATGGAGCACTCAATATCTTTTTAAATGTCATATTTTTCCACTCCAGGAAATCACCATTCTCTGCCTGCCATGCCTCCGTGCCAGTTGAATGGTACGTCAAGGTCTGCGAAGCTGACATGTGCAACTGCATCAAGAGCAACGGCATCAACGGTCTCGACCAGTGCAAGTGCGATGTGTACTCCGAGTACATGCGTGCATGCGCCATGAACCAGAAGCCTGTGGACAACTGGCAGATCTCTGTTGGCTGTGGTAAGTTGAAGATACTAGCAGATACTGCCACCTGTTGAGTAATTTTGTAAAAGTGTTAAATTGCTTTGAAGTTGAATGTGCTACATGTATATAAAATCTGTTTTGTTGGATCACATTTGTTTCTTGTACAAATTCAGTGCCACTAAGAAAATGAATCTTTAAAAATAGAGTTATGGATTTTATGGATGGACAAAATTGAATTATTCATGAAAGACAGTCAGCACTTGGAAAATATGATTGGCACTAGTTTTAATCACAAAAGACATGCTTCTGATCAAGCTCATAATTTAAAAATAAAAATGGCCGGTGTCAAAGGCTGAAATTATTTGATTTAAGATAATGGAAATTAATATTTTTTCCTCTAGCTGTCCAGACCTGCCCACCAGACATGGTCTGGAGCGAGTGCGCCAGCGGATGCCCAAGCACGTGCTCTAACTACCGCGAGAAGGATGCAGCATGCAATGTACCATGCGTTCCTGCATGTCAGTGCAAGCCTGGCTTGGTGAAGAAGGGAGACACATGCGTCGCACCAACCAGCTGCGAAGACTGTAAGTCTATTTCAGTTGGTTTTTTCTTCTCTTTTCTTGTCCTTTTTGTTTTAAGAAATCCATAAATGATATGTACAGACTGCAAGCTAATGACCATTAATTTATTCATTTGAGTGTTATTTTACATTTTTCATACTTTTCATTAAATGTGACAGGGACTGTAAGGATTTCAGAATTGTCTATTTTATTTTTTATGTTTTGTTTTTCTGGCATGTTAAAAGAGTATGCCAGAGGAATTCCTTAATTTTTTGATAAAAAGACATAAGATGCAAAACCAGAATTTTTTGTTTCATCAGCTGTGTGTTTGCAAATATAATACTCATTTTCGTGTAAGCCTAAATTACTTAATTTCCACTTTAATTCATCCACAGGTGTCTGCTACGGCTACGGAGACCCACACTACGTCACTTTCGACGGCTCCTACTTCCCATTCCAAGGCACATGCACATACGTTCTGGCACGTGATACCGCGCACACAGATTTCGAGGTGCTCGCTCACAACGAGAAGTGCACCGAGACCCCAGCCACTGCCTGCACTCAGGGCTTGACTGTCAAGTTCAGCGGCCATGCTGTGGAATTCAGGCCAAACAACAAGGTTTGTTTCTGGCTAGGGACTTTTTAAAGAATTATATGACTAAAGTGCTATTAATTCATTTAATTTTCCTGTTTTCTAGATGATTTATTTATTTTTATTTGTATGAACTGAGTAGTAAAACGTAAATAATGGTTGACCAAGTGTAGTCATACATTATGAAATAAAGTTAATTAGTATAATTCTCATTTTGTTTTATAAAGAATAGTAGAAGGTTAATCAGTACTAAGTTATTGTGTTTTTCAGACATGTAAATTAGTATTTGCATCACTTTTCACTGCAAGAATGACTTGTTTCTCAATCCATTCTTTCCATTATTTATCATAACCATTAAATTATCAATAATTTGTTTGTATATTTTTCTGCATTCATGATATGTTCTTATACAGCAAATGTCCACTGAAATTTCAGGTGCTCTATGACGGTTCCCTCATGAGCCGATCATCCCTGCCACACATCACCAGCACCATGACGCTGAAACGCGTGGGAACACACTACGTGCTCAACGTGCCATCTCTCCATCTCGAGGTCCGCTTCTCCGAACTGAACCATGGCTTCCAGGTCAAATTGCCGTCTGCTGCTTACTTCAACAAGACCGAAGGATTGTGTGGTAAGCTAACATTTCTCTTTTCCTTTTTTTTTCTTTTCTTTTTTTTTTTTATTTATTTTTTTAAAAGAAATTATCAATAAATGTGGTTGATTTTGACTGAGAATTTTTTTATCAGTTAGTTTCAGTATCGTAGTTATTCATATTTAAGATCCTCTGTCGTATTTAAGACAGTTTCATAGTTACATATTCATATTTAAGATTCTCTATCATACTTTCAGTCAACACTTGTATGTTCTTTTTGCCCATCAGGTACCTGTACCCACAGCAGAGCAGACGACTTCATGGCCAGAGACAAGACCCTCAAGGCCAAGGCCCACGACTTCGCTCTCACCTGGCTCGAGACACCTGCCGACAACTCCGCACAGTGCACCGTCGTCAACAAGACCTGCACCTCTCCACAGGGGGCGCTGGAGTGCAACCGTGTCTACGACAACAGCTTCAAAGCCTGTCATGCTCTCGTCAACCCAGCTAAGTACTTCGAGAACTGTATCTACGATACCAAGTGTGGTAATGAGAAGCAGAAGGGTGTTTGCGACTCTTTGACCGCGTATGCACGTGCCTGCGCCATGGCCGGTGTGTGCCTGGACTGGAGAACTCAGGATCTGTGCCGTAAGTTGAATTTGTGTTGTGTTAATTTGAGAGAAAATATACATAGTAAACCAAAGTGTATTAATAAGTGATAAAATCAGAATAAGTTGAAGTAACTTAATAAGAAAATTTAAATTTAGATTTATCAATTTTCATCAAATATTTTAGTTGGACTTAATACTAATGAACAGTTGGATATTTCATAAATCAAAGAGTTTGTACTTAATTTTATTGTATGTTTGTTTTAGTCGTCTTTTTGTCTTGTAGCATTTGAAGGATTATTCAGATATTTTGTTCATTCCTACATGTATGAAGCTAAGTATTTTATCTTTTATATTACAGCTGTCATCTGCAACAACAACATGGTGTACAAGGAGTGCGGACCATCATGTGTCAAGACATGTGACAACATGGCTACCTTCGACAGCACGCCATGCACCACAGCGACAGCTGATGGCTGCTACTGCAAGGACGGCTACGTTATGAAGGCTGGTGTTTGCGTCAAGGTGGAGGACTGTCGTAAGTAGCACACACACGCACACACATGTCATATGAAGGGCATAAAAGAAGCTGCTGCCTGGTCAGAAGGCATAAATGGAGATGTAATACTTGACCCAATTCATTTAAGATTGATCCCCTTGAAAGTGGCTACACTTATATCAAATAAATAAATTGTTGTAATGATTTCCTATTTGTGACAGTATATAGGATGGGGCACCTACAATATTCTTTAGTGAAATATTTGTTGTTATTTTTTATATGTGTTTGTCAATCAAATACCGAATGAATTCTAGATCTAGATCAGATTATGCATTGCATGTCTTATTGAAAGGTACCTGGTAAGGGATGATTACTTAAGTTGTTACCTTATAAGTAGCACCACTTTTCAAGGTGAAGTGTCTAATTGATTTTGTTTTTGATTTCAGCTGCACCAACACCACAGCCTACACCAAGACCCACACCTTGTAAGTAGAGAGATTTAAAAAAACTATTAAATTATGCGTATTATGAAAAATAACTATTTGTAATACAATTTTTTCTTTGTAAACAGTGAAAGAATAAGGTTGAAAGTAGCTTCTGCATTTCTGTATGAACTTTGCGAAAAAAAAAAAGGGGGGGGGGCAAGGATGTAGAGACATAAAATTTCTTCTGTTCTTCCCTTTAGGGCTTTTTTTCTCACTACATCCCTGAAAACTTTGTAGCTTCCGTGGAATTCCGAACCAATGATTTAGTAAATCTTCGTTTTGTACTTCCAGACTGTGCCAACATCAGATGTCTCCCACTGGTGAAGCCTAACCTGAAACCAGGAGAGGAAGCCATTCTCCAGAAGACCACTGACGGCTGCTGCGACATCTACAAGGTCGTCTGCAAACGTGAGATGTGTCCAAAGACCAACTTCGCCTGCGCCGCACCAATGAGTGCTTACTTGGCCAAGAACGATGAATGTTGTCCAACATACGAATGCAGTAAGTGAATTTTTCTTTTCAGTTCACATATTTTACATAACAAAGTAATTAAAAAGAAGGACAAGAGGTGTAAGTTTTTAAATAACAGTTGTGTCCCATTGATTCCTAAATGATGTACCGGGTAGCAAACAAAATTTTGGAAAAAAAATTTGATAGAAGTTATATCTTTCCCTGTATATTGTAAGAATTGATTTGACATTAATGAGAGATGGCTGGATTTTTTGTAGTTGGATATTAGACTAAAAAGGAAATTATTTGCCCCTTTTCAGAGTGTCCACCACTCAAGGACTGCCCACCATCTCCAGCACCAACTTGCAGACCAGTAAGTAGCCATCACTGACCATATAATATATTACATATTCTTGTTCTGGTAGAGCATTTTAATATGGTTTTTCTTATCAAACTGTTTTTTCTGATTAAAAAAAATTAAGACTGTAGTGTCTAGTATACATCAATCAAAGCTGTAATCTGTTTGATTTATTATCGTTTCTTTTGCAGTTATCATTTTTATAAGGATCCCTTTGTGTAAATTGCCTAACTGCACAGTACGTTGTGTTACATTAATTATAATTTTTCTCTATTCCCAGGGCTTTATTGCCAAGAGTGTGGCTGATGAATGTGGCTGCCTCAAGTATGAAGTCGATTGTGGTAAGTTACCATTAAATTATGTTGCTTATTAAATTGTGGTGCAACTGGCAACATAATGCATTTCAATGTGAAACCATGATTAATTGATATGAGGTTGATTATGACATCAATTTTTTATCATTATGATTCTTCCATAACATTCAAATTCTGTTCATTCCTTGGTTATTTATTTTCATGCCCTCTTTTAAGTATAGAAAAACATTTTGCTGTAGTTAATAATTTTGTAATTGTCAATTAGACATTGGTGACTAACAAGAGGTTTTTCATTTTCAGTTGTCCCAGAGAACAAGTGCAAGTTTACAATGGCCTCTGGTGAGGTGAAAATATATGAGGTAAAGAAATATGGAGATATTGACTCATTACTTGTAACTGTGGCTGATATGGTTAAATGTCAAGTTTCTTGGCTAGAAGAAATAGTTTTTATTCAGAAACAGAACTTTAATAAAATCAAGTGAAATGTTTAACCTATTGGCCCTTCAGAAACAGTGCATGACCAGAAACAGAACAAATGCACAAAATTTTACTGGCTCTGCTTTGAATTTACTGGCATTTGGTAAAGCTCCAGTTTTGGGTTAAGTAAGGCCAAAAACTTTATTTTGTAAATTTTTTAAATATTTTTTAAACTTATTTTTACATATTTTAAATTCTGCCACTTTGTAATAACAGATTGGTCAGACATGGAAGGTACCAGGCAAGCCATGCGAGTCCTACGAATGTGTCGCTGGCACTCCAGCCACTGTCCAAAGACAAGTGACCAGCTGCGAGACCAAGTGTGCCCTGGTGAGTGACCGCTGACTGACCATGTGTTAATTAATTTATTAATTAATTTGTCAGGGATGCAATTTTTCCGAACATTGGTAAATTTCTGACTTTTTGGAGGCCAAAAATATCATTGGCAGTAATGAGAATTATCCAACTATTGGAGAATTTTACACTTTTTGTAGCTAAATAGTCTCATCCCTGATTTGTATAATTTATGGTGGTAAGGACCTGCTAAAACCTGATGGTACAATTAATACTTTGTGTCTCTTATCTTATAAAAGTTATGTGAATGACTTTTTTCTATATGTGCCATCATTGTCGATAAACAAACAGAAAAACATCTCTCCCTCACTATAGGATAATTAAACGGTATACTTTAATGATGAATTCCCTCAAAGATCTCAATACCCCTGACACAATAAAGAATAATTTAATAATATAGAAAATAAAATAACACAACTAAACTGAAAGAATGTCAAGTGATTACTTAAAATCATTTATTTGTCAAATGATTACAAATATTACCAGTTTAAAAAATGTTATCAATGTTAATTTATTTATGTATTATTATTATTATTATTATTATTATTTTCACAGGGTTACCAGTACAAACCAGAGATTGGCAAGTGCTGCGGCAAGTGTGTGCCTGTTGGCTGTGTCGTCAATGGAACTGTTTACAAGGTACTTAGTGATTTGTACCCAATGTATTTGCATTTTGACATATTATTTGTGTAAACTTCACCAAAATCATAAATTCGTGAGACAAAATACTTTTGAAAAATCCCCTGAAAACTCATAAGATTAATAATGTATTATAAATCACTATAACATGATTTTTACAATGGTGGCATTGACTCCAACAATGCAAAAAGTGTTCTCAATCCATGCAAATAAATGACCTTTTTAAAAATTATTATTTATTGCTTCAAACATATGGAAGAAACGTCATATTTCTGTTGTTGCAACTATGACATTTTATTTGTCTTTTTTCCTCAGAACGGTGAGGCCGTCCCTGCCACCGAGGCATGTACAACTGCTACATGTTTTGTGGACACCATGTACGGCTCTTCAGTCTCCACCTCTCAGATCAGGTGGGTAACAAACAACATTTATCTGTTTATTTATTTATTTATTTATATACTATTATCATTAATTTTTTGTTTTTATTTTAATTCAGTAACTTTTATTGGGCTGAGAACAGCATAATGTTACTTAATCCCCAATGCAGTTAGTGTTGTTTTGTTTATATGCTCCGATGCCCCTTTCTCTCTCTCTCTCTCTCTCTCTCTCTCTCTCTCTCTCTCTCTCTCTCTCTCAAACCCCCTTTAAATGTTTTTCTTATCTGTGTTTCAGATGTAAGAACAGCATCGAATTACCTGTCTGTAAGAAGGTACGTTTCCACTTACAAATTATAGAAAAAAAGGGGTGAATTCCTGAAGTTAGCTACTTTCCTGGATAAATTTATGATTTTAAAGCATGAGCTGGTAAAATGTTTTCAACTTATCTGCCAACTTTGTAAAAGGCGTGGTTCACGCATGTCTTGTAAAAATCGGGGATCAGCAACTGTTTTGATCAATTTATCGCGGGAACCGGTACTTGAAAAGAACAAAGACTTGTGCCACATTGTTTTGGCTTATGAATATGATAAGTTATTTACATGAATGAATTAATAAAAATTAATGTGGAAATTTTTATCTTCTAGGGAGAGGCCCAGAGAGTCCCCGGCGCATGCTGTGATCACTGCCGCCCAGCAGGTAGGAAAATTGCTCAAGTTTTAGCTTAAAACTATTTTAAAACTTTATTAATTGAAATATGGTAAACTCGGGATGCACCTCCTTTTAACTGAAATATACGTTCATTTAGAACAAATCTTGTGGAACGGATTGTTGGTTTGGTTTTAGCTGAAACTTCTGAATATTGTCAGAAAAAGAGTTTCTTAGCTTACATGCTTTTTTAGGCTTTCATAAAATAGGACCAAAAACAACTGAAATTATAAATAATTTCATGTCGGAAAGTTTGGAAATAGTAGTTATATACCGACAATAAATATAATTAGGTTTTAATGTTGTTTTTTTTCAATAATCTTTTTTTAATCTTTTAGCACCAACCAAGGAATGCGCTCCATGCGTTGCCCGCCTTGTGTTCACAAGAGCCGAAGACACCGTCGGCTACTTCCGTACCTCCATCAACGGACAGATCTGTGAGAACAAAGGACAGCTGGCCGATCTGAGAGAGTGCTCCGGTTACTGCAGCTCTGCCTTCAAATATTTCGCCGTCATGAACAAGTACCAGAATGACTGCCAGTGCTGCCAGGCTCAGACGACGGAGAAGCGCGTGGTTGAGCTTACCTGCATGGACGGTTCAAAGGTCACGCGCGAGTATGACGTACCAACATCTTGTGGCTGCGGAACCTGCACCGGACGTCGTTAATTTTTTTTTTAATGTTTCGGGAATTGTGACTCGGACTTGTTATTTCTTTACGAACTTTCTTTAAAATGGAGAATTTTCTCTACAACAGTTAAACCCTCCTTGCCGTCCCTACTTAGATTACAACAGATTTTTAAAAAGACTTTTAGATAAAGAGTTTTATATTTTAAAAAAGATAGTGTGATATTTATTCACAGTCTTCTAGCTATTCCATACGCATAGGAAACAGATGAAGACAGTGGTATTATTTTTCTATAGAAACTTTATTTTTATAGTGACTGTGTTCCACGTTTAAATGGCATCAGTACAGCTGAATATGAATGGGAACAAAAGACGTTTTAATATAGAATCCGTAAAAGTGTATTTATATTTTTGGCAAGGAAATAAAAAGCTATAATCTTGCAATTACAATGATGCGTTGTTTGTTGTATTTCCAAATGCAACTTGCCCCATAGATATTTAAAACTGATGTTTTCAATAGAGTTAGCGAAACATGCATTTTTATTATTTAAGCAAATCCGTACATTACGAAAACACCATACACGATATGCTGAATGCAATATGCTTTCCAGTGTATTTACATATAAAGTAAAAATATATGCAAATTTATCATCTTCACAAATCCTGTTGCTAAAACAAATCCATACAATCACAGTGATTTTTGGGGGTAAATACACTGAAGGGCCTCGAATTTTTTTGGTATTTTAGAGGGCAAACAGTGCCAGTTGATACGGTTTAGAACTATGATTCAGCTAGTGAACCAGTGGTGTTATTTTTTTTTCAGAAATCGAAGGGGGGGGGGGGG